CACGTGGATCTTACAGGATCATTGTACTTGTAATGAACACCCACTAAGAGCTGCGAGGGGGAATCAACTTCATTGGGCGGGAGGAGGAAAGATGTGGAACCACTGAGTCCCGGGGACTCTGCTACACCTGCGTGTGTAATTCTAATAATACAACCAGGCTGGGTCTCCTTACTGGCTGCTGCGGACTCTCCTTCCTCTTTTAAGCGGGAATGACGCTCCCTCTGCTGGCCAGTTCCGAAACAACAGGCTCTAAGGAATTAATTCTCTACTAATTCAACGTTTGCATGTGCACTGTGTGCACGCGTGACTGTGTATGCATTTAGACGACTGTGTGTCATATGTAGGTATGTGTGTATGCAAATGCATGTATGTGTGTATCTAAGTGTATTTGTGTGTGCCAGTGTGTGTGCATGTGGGTGTGTGTTGAGAGCAGAGGTGAGAGAACTACCCACTGAACAACTGTGTGCACACCAGGCTCTTATCATGGCTGGAAGCCGCTGAGAGAGCTCTGCCTGTGCCCAGTCCTGACCCTTGCAGTGCAGGCAGGACATTCTGGAGACGCTGAATACTGGTGGATGGATAAGGGTGGATAAAGAGCCCAGCTCCCTTGCTTTGGGTGAGGTCACTCAGGTGCTGTCTACCTCCTGGAGCTCCCCAGCAGGACTGAGCCCTGTCACCCATAGTGGAAACGTCCTATATTAAGCTCCCTTTAACTGCTTTCTTCTCTTTCCATCCCACTTTGTGTTTCTTGGGATCACCTCCCACAGAGACAACTTGCAGTTGAATTCTTGTCTTGAGGTCACCTCTGAATAAAGTATTTGCATTTGAACCCTTCTGTCAGAGTCTGCTTCTGGGGAATCCAAAATAAGACACACATGTTGACTGGGCTCCTCGCCCCCTCAGGCCTATTCTTTATTTTTGGTGCTGAGTATTAAACCCAGGGGTGCTCTACCACTGAGCAACATCCCCAGACCTTTTTTTTTTTTTGAGTTAGGATATCACTAAATTGCTGAGGTTTGCCTGGACCTTGCAGTTCTCCTGCCTCAGCTTCCCAAGCAGCTGAGTTACACATGGGTGCCTGGGTCCCTTGGGCTATTCTTGTTCCCTCTTCATGGACAAGGAATATGAGGCTCAGATAGGGTAAGTCACTTGCCCAAGTGTATTAGTCAGGGTTCTCTAGAGAAACAGAACCAACAGGAAGTGTAATTACAAAAAGGGGACTTATGCAACCAGAAGCTGGATAGTCCACAATGGCCATCTGCAGGCTGGAGAGCTGGAAGGACCAGTAGCTGCGCAGTCCAGGAGGCTGAAGCCCCAGAATAAAAGGAATCAATGGTGCAACCCTAGACTGAGATCTAAGCCTTCTGGAGAATCAGTCAGAGTCCGCTTTGGAAGAGTGAAGAAGTGAGAGTCCAACATCCTCAGACGATTACAGTAGCGACCAAGAACCCCTTCAAGAAGAACTGAGCTTGCATCTGCTGCTGCTTTTTTGTTCTTCCAATTTTTATTCCATCCAAGCCATCATCCTATTGGTCGTTGCTTCTCAGGCTTAGGGAGGGTATCCATTTCAGTTGGCTATTCCACATGCCAATCATTCCCTCATCAACCCACCCATAATCCTCTTAATCCTTGGCATCTCTTAATCCAATCAAATTGACAATTCAAATTAACCATTACACGAAGGTCACACAGCTGGCAAGTGGCAGAGTTCAGCTTTGACTTTGAGCTGTCTCACCTCAAGTCTCTCACTTGCCCCCCCTTCTCCAGAGTATCTCCTCCTTGTCACAGGAATGAACAAGGAATGTTCACAGCCAGCCAAGTCCCTGATGCATGTTCCAGAAAAGTCCAAAGCACAGAGCTATTGTCTGTGTCCTTATTGCTTGGTGCTGAACATCATGTGCCAGAGAATGCTGTAGGCATTTTAATCATTTCTCCTGTTTCTTTCTTACC